TCAATCAATCCAGTAGGCGTGTCAGCAAATGACCAATCGGCAAACTCAATTTGTCCTGAAGGTAAACAGCCCTTACCTGTGGAGCTGACTGCAGCTGCTCAGGGTGGACGCTCGAGTATGAAGTCTCAACCCTCTGCGGACGGTGCACAGTTTCCGCGCAGACTGAGGTCCACCCGAGTCTGTGCGAGCCTTTAAAAGCCTGCTTCTGATATTCCAACAGGACCTTGTCTTGAAACACAGCAGTGAAGGATACCTATGGGACAGATCTGGTTGACAAGCCTCCGACTGACAAAGTCCTCTGGATGGGGGACGAAACGTTTCTTCACTGAAGAAACCGGTCCATGATTTAGCCATTTTTGTTAAATGGACTGTACTTATATAGCATCTTTCTAAATTATCAAGACACTCAAAGCTCTTTGCTACACAATCTGTGCCTCATTTACCCATTCATACAGCACTACTATATTTATACAAAGATACTCTGAATCTGTAGAGAATAATCAGCGCTTTAGATCACATTCGTACACAGATGGGACACGCATCAGAGGCAATGATGGGTTCAGTGTCTTGCCCAAGGCTACTTCAACATGTGGCTGCTGGTGGAATCGAACCCCAAACTCTCCCGTTGGAGGACAACTGCTCTAAACACTCAGCCACAGCCACCTTCCAGTTTGGTCTGGTTGTTCGTGCAGCCACCAACACAACAAGTACCTAGTCTTAACTGGAGTTAGTAGGAGAGGGCATATCTATCCAGTTTTAGATCATCTCCATTGTCTCCCTGTCAAATCCAGAACTGAATTCAAAATCTTAATTCTAACCTACAAAGCTCTCAACAGCCTAGCTCCATCTTATATTTGAGATCTTATAGTTCCATATTTTCCTAACAGAGCACTACGCTCTTAGACTGCTGGCTTACTCGCGGTCCCTAGAGTTTCAAAGAGTGGAATGGGAGGAAGATCTTTCAGTTATCAGGCTCCTATCTTGTGGAACCAACTTCTAGTTTCTGTCTGTGAGGCTGACACATTGTCAAGACTGGGCTTAAGACTGTCATTTTTGCTAAATCCTATAGTTAGGGTTGGCTTGTTATGCTGCTGTAGGCTTAGACTACTAGAGGACAAATTGACCTCATTTTCATAAATGAATTGTTAAAATTGAATAGTTTTCATTTGATACTATTTCTATCTTAACATGTTATTTGTGACTTGTCATTGTGTATCTGTTCCTACCAAACCCAGTTGGTCGAAGCAGATGGCCACTTGTCCTGAGCTTGGTTCTGCTGTTCTGTTGCTATGGCGGCGCACAGAAGTGCAGCGGCCTCTCATGCTCCCGGGATTAAGCCTTATTTTAATTCCTATGAGGCTGTTTTAGGCACTAATTCAGTGCTAAATTCACGGCTCAAGTACAGCTCAACTGAACTTATGGCCATCAGAGACAGTTCAGTTATTAATATCACAGAGGCTGAAATAGAAGGCCACAGATTCCTACTCTCTTTCTGGCCAATGTCCGCTCACTGGAAAACAAAATGGACTTGTTACATCTAAGGATGAGTGTTTCTACAGAGATGACGAACGGTGCTGTTCTTTGCCTAATGGAAACCTGGCTTAACAACAACATGCCAGACTCAGCTTTCCAGATCAGTGGTCTTCAGTTATTCCGTGCGGACCGTGACCAATGCTCGGGTAAAACACGGGGGAGAGAATTCTGTATGTTTGTGAATGAAGATTGGTGTATGAACTGTGGACTAGTTAAAAAGCTACTGCTCTGAGGCAATATAACTCATTACTGTGAAATGTCAGCCGTACTGTCTGCCACGGGAGTTCACTGCAGTGTTTGTCACTATTGTTTACATCCCGCCAGGTGCTAATGCTAACGAAGCATCAAAGGAGCTGTATGACACCATTAGCTCAATGCAGATTAATTACCCAAAGACGTTTTACATGGTTGCGGGGCACTTAAACCACATGAAACTGACAGACACTCTGCCCAGTTTTTACCAGCATGTCACTTTTCCTACACGGGGAAACAACACTCTGGACTGTGTGTATACTAACATTCACGGTGCGTACAGAGCTGTTCCTTGCCCCCATCTTGGCCTCTCCAACCACATCTCAATCCTGCCGGCGCCAGCATATTATCTGCAGATGAGACGGATTAGGCTAACAAAGAAGATGGTCACTGTGTGACCCAAGGATGTAGACTCTGTGCTCCATTACTGTTTTCAGTGCACAGATTGGCAGGTCTTCAGAGAGGTGGCTACATACACTATATTGCCAAAAGTATTCACTCACCTGCCTTGACTCACATATGAGCTTAAGTGACATCCCATTCCTAATCCATAGCGTTCAATATGACGTTGGTCCACCCTTTGCAGCTAGAACAGCTTCAACTCTTCTGGGAAAGCTGTCCACAAGATTTAGGAGTGTGTTTATGGGTATTTTTGACCATTCTTCCAGAAGCGCATTTGGGAGGTCACATACTAATGTTGGATAAGAAGACCTGGCTTTCAGTCTCCACTCTAATTCATCCCAAAGGTGTTCTATCAGGTTGAGATCAGGACTCTGTGCAGGCCAGTCAAGTTCATCAACACCAGACTGTGCCATCCATGTCTTTATGGACCTTGCTTTGTGCACTGGTGCACAATCATGTTGAAAGAGGAAGGGGCCAGCTCCGAACTGTTACCACAAAGTTGGGAGCATGGAATTGTCCAAAATGTCTTGGTATGCTGAAGCAGTCAGAGTTCCTTTCACTGTAACTAAGGGGCCAAGCCCAGCTCCTGAAAAACAACCCCACACCTCTGCCCTCCACCAAACTTTACACTTGGCACAGTGCCGACAGACCAATACCGTTCTTCTGGCAACTGCCAAACCCAGACTCGTCCATCAGATTGCCAGATGGAGAAGCGCCATTTGTCACTCCAGAGAACACGCCTCCACTGCTCTAGAGTCCAGTGGCGGCGTGCTTTACACCACTGCATCCAATGCTTTGCATTGCATTTGGTGATGTATGACTTAGATGCAGCTGCTCGACCATGGAAACCCATTCCATGAAACTCTCTGCGCACTGTTCTTGAGATAATCTGAAGGCCACATGAAGTTTGGAGGTCTGTAGTGATTGACTCTGCAGAAAGTTGGTGACCTCTTCGCACTATGCACTTCAGCATCCGCTGACCCCGCTCCGTCAGTTTACGTGTCCTACCACTTCGTGGATGAGTTGCTATCATTCCCAAACACTTCCATTTTCTTAAAATACAGCTGACAGTTGACTGTGGAATATTTAGGAGCGAGGAAATTTCACGACTGGATTTGTTGCATAGGTGGTATCATATCAGTTCCCTGCTGGAATTCACTGAGCTTCTAAGAGCAACCCATTCTTTCACAAATGATTGTAAAAACAGTCTGCATGCCTAGCTGCTTCATTTTATACACCTGTGGCCACGGAAGTGGTTGGAACACGTGATTCTGATCATTTGGATGGGTGAGCAAATACTTTTGGCAATGCAGTGTATGATGGAGAGGTGGACCTGGAGAAATACACTTCCTCTGTTCTTGGCTTCATCTCTAAGTGCACTGTCCTGGTGATGATGATGTCATTACCACCAGGACAGTAACCTGTTATCCGAATCGGAAACCTTGGTTGAATGCTGAGGTTAGAGATCTGCTGAAAGCTAGGGACGCTGTCTTCAGGACAGGTGAGGCATCAGCACTCCGAGAGGTGAGGAAAAGACTGACTGCAGTCCTTGCAAGGGCCAAAGCCACATACAGTGAGGAAAATAAGTATTTGAACACCCTGCGACTTTGCACGTTCTCCCACTTTGAAATCATGGAGGGGTCTGAATTTTTTATCTTAGGTGCATGTCCACTGTGAGAGACATAATCTAAAAGAAAAATCCAGAAATCACAATGTATGATTTTTTTAATAATTCATTTGTGTGTTACTGCCGCAAATAAGTATTTGAACACCTGCCAATCAACAACAGTTCTGGCCCTCAAAGACCTGTTAGTCCTCCTCTATAACGTCCACCTCCACTCCACTTATTATTCTAAATTAGAAGCACCTGTTTGAGGTCGGTAGCTGCATAAAGACACCGGTCCACCCCACACAATCAGTAAGACTCCAACTACTAACATGGCTAAGACCACAGAGCTGTCCAAAGACACCAGAGACAAAATTGTAGACCTCCACAAGGCTGGAAAGAGCTACGAGGCAATTGCCAAGTAGCTTGGTGAAAAAAGATCAACTGTTGGAGCAATTATTAGAAAATGGAAGAAGCTAAACATGACTGTCAATCTCCCTCGGACTGGGGCTCCATGCAAGATCTCACCTCGTGGCGTATCATTGATCCTAAGAAAGGTGAGGAATCAGCCCAGAACTACACGGGAGGAGCTGGTCAATGACCTGAAGAGAGCTGGCACCACTGTTTCCAAGGTTACTGTGGGTAATACACTAAGACGTCATAGTTTAAAATCACGCATGGCATGGAAGGTTCCCCTGGTTAAATCTGCACACGTCCAGGCCCATCTTAAGTTTGCCCATGACCATTTGGATGATCCAGAGGAGTCATGGGAGAAAGTTATGTGGTCAGATGAGACCAAAATAGAACTTTTTGGTCTTAATTCCACTCGCCTCAGTGACAGCCCAGAAACCTGGTTGATCTAGAGAAGATGTGTGGAGGAATGGCCCAAAATCTCTGCTGCAGTGTGTGCAAACCTGCTGAAACACTACAGGAAACCTTTGACCTCTGTAACTGCAAAGTAAGATACTGTACCAAATATTAACATTAATTTTCACAGGTGTTCAAATACTTATTTTCAGCAGTAACACACAAATAAATTATTAAAAAATCATACATTGTGATTTCCGGATTATTTTTTTTAGATTATGCCTCTCACAGTGGACATGCACCCGAGATGAAAGATTCAGACCCCTCCATGATTTCAAAGTGGGAGAACGTGCAAAGTCGCAGGGTGTTCAAATACTTATTTTCCTCACTGTATGCCCAGAAAATTCAGGGTCACTTCATCACCAACGACCCCCGGCGCATCTGGAAGGGTATCAAATGCATTACGAACTAGAACATCAGGGATGCACAATGCCCAATGAACCCCTCATTACCAGATGCACTCAATAAGTTCTATGCTCGCTTTGAGGATCCTAACACACCCCCAGCACTAGACTTATACCAACACCCGGTGACACACCCTTCTGTGTGACCACAGCAGATGTGAGAAAGACCCTCCAGGGAATCGATCCCTGTATGGCTGCAGGCCCCATCAACATCCCAGGGCAGGTACTGAAGGACTACGCATACCTGCTGTCTGTGGTGATGGTGGACATCTTCAGCACCTCACTGTCAATGGCAGTTGGCCCCACCTGCTTTAAGTCCGCCACTATTGTCCATGTACCCAAATGCTCCACAGTGACAGGCCTGAATGACTACCGACCTATAGCCTTAACATCGGTAGTCATGAAGTGCTTCCTGTTTTTGGGAGCAGATGGTGGGGGTTAAGGGCCTTGCTCAGTGGCCCAGAATGGGGCTAGGGAGGGTGGAGGCAGGTGTGGGTGATTCACCTATTCCACCCACATTTTGATGTTGTCGGTACTGGGAGTTAAACCTGAGACTTTCTGATCACAGGCCCATCTTCTCTAACCTTTGCGCCACCACTTTCTATCCATCTGCTCTTTCTGGATTTTTTCTCAGCCTTCAACACCATCATCCCACAGACCCTGGTGCAGAAGCTCTCCTTTCTTGGACTGAGTCCCACATTGGGGAACTGAATTCTGGACTTCCTGACCAACAGACCTCAGACTGTCAGGATCCACAATACCGTCTCCTCCTCCATCACCCTCAGCACTGGCTCACCCCAAGCCTGCATGTTGAGAGTCAGAGTCAGAGATTCTTTATTGTCAATCCACCTCATGTGGTACATGTGGTGGAGCGAAATTATGTACACAAGGTCCCAGTTATATCCAACAATAAAATGTATAAGAAAAACAGTAATAACATCTAAGATATGAACTAAGAAAAACATCAACTAAATATACACTAAGCACTCATAACATAAAACATTGAACATCAGCACAAACATGAACATGAGTCTGTGAGCGGATGTGCATGCATAAACACATCAACATTGAAACAGATCAGCAGCAACATGAAACAGATCAGCAGCAACATGATATGGTTTTTCACAGTGATTATTCTAGTTAGAGATTCATGAGTCTAACAGCCTCAGGGTAGAAGCTGTTCTTGAGCCTCCTCTTGTTCATTCTGCTGACATTTGATTGCTCAGCTGGACACCCCAGCTGCATTATAGTGAAGTTTGCGTCCAACACAGCTGTAGTGGGATGCATCACAAACAATGATGAGTACAAATACAGAGAGGAGGTGGAACACCTGGTACAGTGGTTCAGAGACAATAATCTCTGCATCGGTGTGAAGAAGACCAAGGAGATGGTGGTAGATCCTCTTCATCCCCTACACATCAGAGGAGCAGCTGTGGAGGTGGTCTCGTGCTACAGGTACCTGGGGGTGCATATATACTGTGACCTCACCTGGAGAGCAAACACTTTCTGTCTGGTCAAAAAGGCCCACCTGCGTCAACTTCCTCAGCAAGGTGTGGAGAGCTGGACTTAGGAGCTCTGTCCTGAGGAGCTTCTATGGCTGTGTGGTGGAGAGCGTTCTCTGCCACTGCATCACCGTGTGGCACGGCAGCTGCACTGCTGCTGAGAGGATGGCTCTGCAGAGGGCGGTTAAGACTGCACAGAAGACTGTGGGGAGCAGCCTTCCCACCACCTCGGACCTCTACACCATGATGCAGGGGAGGGCACTCCACATCATGAAGGACTCCACTCATTCTAAACAGAGTCTCTTCCAGCCCCTCCCCTCAAGCAGGTGGCTAAGGAGCATTCAGAGCAAGACCACCAGGCTCAGAAACAGTTTCTTTCCTGCAGCTGTCAGACTGCTGAATTCGAACTGCACTTAATTCAGCTTCATCTTACTTTTTTTAACTTTATTATTATTAATATTTGTACTCTTGTATTTATTTGTTAATTGTTATGCTTCTTGATGATCTGAGACCTCAGTCCAAATTTCGTACCGCAAACATGCAAATGTGAGCTGGTATGAGAATTTAAAATCCTTGAATTCTTGAATACTAAAGGTTTCTTCCTCATGAGGGAATTTTTCCTTTCCACTGTCACCTTCATGCTTGCTCAAGATGAGAGTTCTGGGATGGAGTTAAACTCAAAGCAGTCTGCTCCTCAGATAAATAATGTTAAATTATTGTTTTTATATATGAACGTTTCTGTTCAGAAAGATGAGTTCTGTTGTGACTTAGTGCTATAGAAATAAACTGAATTGAATTGTACCTGAACTCAGCATGGCTATGTTAGTAAACTTTATGGTTGTTAAATAAATGTGAACAAAACAAAAACAGACCAACGATTTTCAGTCAGGTCATCTGGACAGTTTCTTCTTCTTCTTTTTTTTTTCTGCTGAAACATTTCACCTTCCATCCAGAAGGCTTCATTCAATTCAATTTACTTAAAAATACTTTATTATTCCCAGAGGGAAATTAAATGTTGTTGTAACTCATCATCCTGGTTTCATTAAAGAGTTGTTCTAGATGCTGATGCTGTGGGCAGGAAGGATCTCTTGTAGCGGTCTGTCCTACAACGGATCTGAAGAAGCCTCTGACTGAAGACACTTTGTTGTTGTATGACAGTCTGATGAAGAGGATGCTGAAGGTTGTCTATAATTTTCTTCATTTTATGAAGAATCGTTCTTTGAACAATCATCTCCAAAGGTTCTAGAGAAGTCCCCAGAACTGAGCCAGTCTTCTTGATGAGCTGGTTGATCTTTTTAAGTCACTTGCTCTGGTGCTGCTCCCCCAGCAGATGATGGCAGAACAGATTGCGCTCTCTACAATAGACTTATAGAAGATATGCAGCATCTTGCTGCAAACACTGAAGGACTTCCGCTTCCTCAAGAAGTACAGTCTGCTCTGTCCCTTCTTGTAGACGGCTTCGTTGTTGCATTTCCAGTCCGGTCTGTTGTCCAGGTGAACCCAAAGATATTTATACTTCTCCATCACCTTAACTTCTTCTCCCATGATGGAAATAGGGTTGGACCTGTTCCTGATTCTCCTGAAATCTACAATCATCTCCTTTGTTTTGTTCACATTCAAGATAAGATGATTGTTTCCACACCATGCCACAAAGTGGTCCACCAGTTCCCTGTACTCAGCTTCTTGTCCATCTCTGATACACCCGACTACTGCAGAGTCATCTGAATATTTCTACAGATGACAGGAGTCTGTTTTGTACTGGAAATCTGAGGTGTACAGAGTGAAAAGGAATGGTGAGAGTACAGTCCCCTGTGGTGCTCCTGAGCTACTGACCACCTGGTCAGACACACAACCCTTCAGTCTCACAAACTGTGGTCTGTTTGTCAGGTAGTCTTTGATCCAGGTGATTGTTGAGGCCTCCACCTGAGTCTTCTGGAGTTTCTGACAAAGCAAATCAGGCTGGATTGTGTTAAATGCACTGGAGAAATCAAAGAACATGACTCTCACAGTGCTGTCTGCCTTTTCTAGATGACAGTGAGTTTGCTGAAGCAGGTGTATGATGGCATCTTCAACTCCAAGTCCAAGTTGATAAGCAAACTGCAGTGGGTCCTGATATGTGCTTGTTTGTTTAGTCAGGTGGGTCAGCAGAAGTCTCTCTAGGACTTTCATGATGTGGGATGTCAGGGCAACAGGTCTGTAGTCATTGAGGACTGATTGGTGAGGTTTATTTGCTACTGGAACAATGCAGGATGTTTTCTACAACACTGGAACCTTCTCCTGGGTCAGGCTAAGGTTGAAGAGGGGCTGCAGAACCCCACAGAGCTGCTCTGCACAGACCTTCAGGACTCTGGGACTGACACCATCTGGACCTGCAGCCTTATTCCGGTTCAGTCTCTCCAGCTGCTTCCTCGCCTGACTTCTGGAGACGCAGACGGGGGAGGAAAAGGAGGTATCGGCATCTTCTGATTTGGTTGAAGACCAACATGCAGAAGATGAAGGGTCCATGACTGAGGTGGTAGATACAATATTTGAGGTGTGACAGGACAGCCTTGGGTCAATGGAGGGTGGTATGTATGTTTGGCTGTGGGCAAGAGAGGAGGATGCTGAGCTTGTTCCTGAACTGAACCTATTGAAGAATGTGTTCAGTTCATTGGCTCTGTCCAGACTTCCATCCTTCTGATCCTCCTCCTGCTTGAAGCCTGTGATCTGTTTCCTCCCTGACCACACCTCTGTGATATTGTTCTGCTGGAGCTTGCTCTCCAGCTTCTTCTTGTACACCTCCTTGCTGTTTCCAAAAAAGTTAAATCTGGTCCTCTGGACATTCAAAAAAAAAAAAAGCAAAAAAATGTAGAAATGTTTCGTCCCTCATCCGAGAGACCTCCTCAGTCTGAGGTGCTGTATTCAGCTCAGTCTCTTAAATAGCACCTTCTCAGAGTGGATCAACCAGTTTTGCTGCTGACAACCAAAACCAGCTGATCACATGCTCAAGAAGGACCATCAGTCTAACAATGGATCATTAGCACACTGATGGCTGTTTACTATTCACAGGGGGCTGAGTGATACTAGCAATCACAGCATTGTAAGAGGGGGACAGTTGAACCCGGAGGCCTCCACCCCTGTTTAATGATGGACTATTTCTTTTCACAAAGATGGCCTCCTTTACTCCTCTCCCAAACCATCGTTCCTCTCTGTCCAGGATGTGAACATCTTCATCCCTGAAAGAGTGACCGCTGGCCTGGAGATGAGTGTAGACCGCAGAATCATCCCCACAGCATGATGCTGCCACCACCATGCTTCACTGTAGGGATGGCATTGGCCTGGTTTCCTCCAAACACAATGCCTAGCATTCACATCAGAGTTCAATTGTTGTCTCATCAGACCAGAAAATTTTGTTTCTCATGGTCTGAGAGCCCTTCAGGTACCTTCTGTCAAACTCCAGATGGGCTGCCATGTTCCTTTTATTAAGGAGTGGCTTTTGTCTGGCCACTCTACCATACAGGCCTGATTGGTGGATTGCTGCAGAGATGGTTGTCCTTCTAGAAGGTTGTCCTTTCTCTGCTGGAGCTCTGACAGAGTGACCTTCAGGTTCTTGGTCACCTCCTTGACTAAGACCCTTCTCCCCCAATCACTCAGTTTAGATGACCAGCCAGCTCTAGGAAGAGCCCTGGTGGTTTCAAACTTCTTCCATTTACAAATGATGGGAAGCCACTGTGCTCATTGGGACTTTCAAAGCAGCAGAAATGTTTCTGTAATCCTTCCCCAGATTTGTGCCTGAACACAATCCTGTATCAGAGGTCTACAGACAATTATTTTGACTCCATGCTTTGTGTTTGTGCTTTGACATGCTCTGTCAACTGTGGGACCTTCTATAGACTGGTGTGTGCCTTTCCAAATCTAGTCCAGTCAACTTAATTTACCACAGGTGGACATCATTTAAGTTGTAGAAACATCTCAAGGGGGATCAGTGGAAACAGGATGCATCTAAGCTCAATTTGAGCTTCATGGCAAAGGCTGTGAATACTTACCTAAATGCGATTTCTTAGTTGTCTATTTTTAATAAATTTGGAACAAATCTAAAAAAATATTTTCCCATTGTCATAATGGAGTATTGTGTGTAGAATTTGAGGAAAGAGATTCATTAAATACAATCTAAAACAAGGCTGTAACATCGAAATGTGGAAAAGGTGAAGCATTGTGAATACTTTCTGGATGTTCTGTATCTTCCACTCATGTTTGGTGAATGCCACTTTGTAGGTCGTCCATCATTACAATATTTCTCTGTAACATATCTTCATTAGCATTCAGCTTCTCGAGGGGCTCGGGCTCCAAGACCTGATGGTGTGGTCTTCCTTGGCCAGCCCTGGCAGACTTGTGTTTTTTTTTTTTTTGTCAGAAGACAACATTTATCTAGATATGTCTCTAATGACAGTGGTACTTATAAATTTAATATATATCCCCATGGCAAAATATGGATAATTGAAACATTTTATGATCACATTCCTGCAGAGCTCACATTAACCACATTCTATTTTGTGCACACGCACCAGATGTCCGACTAATTTTAACTTGGTTGTCTGGCATGTGTCAACACAACTCAACACAGTTTAGATCAGATGTTTAGGAGCCTTTCTGTGTCTGAATAAAGTCAGAGGTCATTGTTTAAAACATTCCTCTGTCTGGTACACAAACTGAAGCTGATAGAAAAACTTAGAAAATCCTTCAGAATGTCCGACGAACTGCTGATCAAGACACCTTGAAAGACCACAAGAAAGTTTAAATAACGAGATGGAAAATATAGAGATAAGGACTGGATCAAGTCTTTGGGACTGAAAATGAAGTTTATATGTAGTAGTATTGAACCAGGCTCAGCTGTACCTGCAGAGGTAGAAAAGTTATATTAATATATATGTTTTTAATGAAATTTTCTATGAAGCCGACTCATGTTGTGCATGATGTTTCCTCAGGTCCTTCCTGCTGATGTTCTGACTCGAGTCAGTGAATATGTTCCTGAGATTGTGGAGTTTGTGAAGAAGATTGTTTCAAACGGTTATGGGTGAGGATCAAACTAACATCTGTGCTTCTTTATAGTTCACCTCCATCAGCAGTGTTGTCTGAATGAGTTGTTTCTCTCATGCTTGCAGATATGAATCAAATGGTTCAGTTTACTTTGACACCCAGAAGTTTGATTCCAGTCCTCTACACTCTTATGCCAAGCTGGTGCCAGAAGCAGTTGGAGACCAGAAAGCATTACAGGAGGGAGAAGGTACACATTTACATGTTTAAAATATTTGTTTTGGGAAAAAAAGAATCCTGAAGAACGTGGTTGTTTTAGCTTTATTTAGAATTGTGAAGTAGAGGGTGATACTGGAGTAGATTTTCAATTCAGTTTATTTCTTCTTTCTTCTTCTTCTTTCGGTTTGTCCCTCTTCAGGGGTGGCCACAGTGAGTCCTCCTCCTCCACCTCGCTCTGTCCTCTGCGTCCTCTGTCCTCACTCCAACTACCTTCATGTCCTCTCGAACTGCATCCATATATCTCCTCTTTGTCTTTTTCCTGGCAGCTGCATTTCTAACATCCTTCTACCAATATACCCACGGTCCCTCCTCTTGACATGTCCGAACTAGAGAATGACACGGGAGTGGATATTCACTCCTGTCCTGGTCCCACAGGAAAAATCCTGTCCTGTCCCACTCCTGGTAACATGACTCCTGCTCCTGTCCTGCTCCTGTTTTTCATTTAATTTTTAGGAAATACATTGAATTTGATTTGATCTTCTACTCATTCCTGTTTAAATTACTTTGTGATGTGCAGTTTTATTTCAAAAGATATGGCAACAGGAACAGTTCATCTGTGGTGAAATAAAGACATTTATTGTTTTAATCCAAACAAAAACCTTCACTAAATATCATAAAACAAATAATCCATGGCCTGTAGTCCATATAATTTATCTACGGAGGATCAGCTGCTGAGTCCTTGTTTCTAGATCTTTGAAGGTCAGTTACAGTAAAAACAAAAATCTAAACCAGTCCAGGGGTCACACCATGTCTACCTTAGATGAAAGAACCCAAACATAACAAGTTGCATTTGACTAATTTATTGAGCAATTGTTTCCTTTAAACAGTGACATCACTGTCATGTTTTAAATAGTTTAAACAAACAAACAATAAAATAAAAATAATGTACCATGCAAGAGAACAAATAAAAATGTTTAAAGGCATTATTATACATTGGACGACGTCCTCAAGAAGTTCAGTGTATGTGGTCGAGGTAACGAGCTCGTTTGGGTGAAGCATGATGTCGTGCATCTTCCCAGACTCCAGAGCATCATTTACAGACTGGACCATTGCAGGTCTGGTGTTCCACCTCATCTCTCCACAGCTGGACCAGTCCAGAACCTTGTGGAACCTAAAAGTGAAAGAAGACGTGCACGAGTTAAAATAGTGTTACAGTGACTACAAATTATAATTTGTTGGTCTTTCTTCTGGAAAAAAAATATTTGATCAAAAACAAGAGATTTACAATTGAAATTAAGTCAAGAAAATGTGACATTTGCAATTATAAATTACAGAAGCTTAATTTTTCTTAATTTATTTCACTTATCATATTTTATAATTATTTAATCAGCCTCACAGGCAGAGATTACAAGATGTTATGTATCTTACCTGCTCTGTTGAAGTGTGTGACAAGGGTCTTTGTGTCCAAAGCTGTTTAACAGTTTGCTTCCAGAGCTAACAGCCTCCTGTGTTAGGTAGAACAATTAAATTAAATTAAAGACAAACAAAAAGCTTAGAGCTACTTCTTGTTGTGCCGCTTTCTAAAACAGTTATTGAATCAAGTATTTACTTATGTAGGTAAACATAGATGTTTTAAACCTGTTAAAATATACCAGAATGCAGGAAATAGCAGCTGCTTTATTCAAAAAGTTATGGGGAAGGACCCACAGACCTCGCACCAATATGTCCCCCCTACAATAATTCTAATGATAATTCACACTGCGTGGTTCAAGCCAAGAGCCATTGTCAACACTGGGGGTCTAAGACTCCTAAAAAGGACTCCTAGAATCACCCCTGGTGTGAAGAAATGGACTGAGAAAAATCAGCTCTTGGCCTAAAATTTAACACAACAGCATAATTGTACACATCATATCTTAAATCTAAAACTTAAACACTTATTATAATATATGTGTAACCAGTCTTTCATATAAAAACTGGGATATTTTTACCGGAGAATGCTTTCACTAACGAGTTTGTTGTTGTACTGACATGGTTACAGCCGACAGTAACTATTTACACAATAAAGCGATGGTTATTCATGTTTTCCTCAATTTCAGTATCCAGCAGGACGTCACAATATAAACATAGTAATATTTTTACCGGAGAATGCGTGCACTTTAACCAGGAAGAGTTGTTTTTTTTACATTACAAACAGCAACAGATAATAAAGATTTTAACCTAAAAACCCACATAACAAAGCAGAGCATAATTTTTAAATTGAAAGGGACAAGGTGGAGAAAAATGCGCTGTTTGAGTTTATTTACTGACGGTAAACAGCAGCTCCTCACTGCAGCTGAGATGTTTAAAGCAGCACAGCACCAACACAAGTTCAGGGTTATTTGACACTTTCCTGCCTGTTCTGTGAGTTTAATAGACAGTTACTTCTTACCTTGCGTTGCAAACTATTTTCAGTTACTCTGTACCACTTAGCTGCTCCTCCCACCCTCTCGGTGAAAACCTACGGCTCTAACAGATAACTTCTGGTCCAGAAGTTCTGGGCAATGGAGTTCTTTTGACTTGCATTAAAGTGAAGGCTTACTGAAAGAAAACTACAAAATAGCTGCGCCCGTGTTTTTTTTGTTTTGTTTCATTTTCATTTTTGGTTCTTGGTCGGTTCCCGCTCCTGTCTGCTCCCGTTAGCTTTCAGTCCGGTCACGTCCCGGTCACGTGAGTTATAATGAGGTTGACTCCGGTCCCGCTGGAATCCAGCCGGAATCCAGCCGGAATCACGTGACCCATGGTACTCCCAAAAAAAATGTCATCCTTTAGTCCAAACCATCTCAGTGTGTCCTCTCTAACTTTATCTCCCAGTTGTTCAACCTGTGCTGTACCTCTGATGATCTCATTCCTAATCTTATCCAGCCTCGTCACTCCTAAGGAGAACCTTATCATCTTCATTTCTACCACTTCCAGTTCTTTCTCCTGTCTTTTTGTCAATGCCACTGTCTCCAGACCATACAACATAGCTGGTCTCACCACTGTCTTGTAAACTTTTCCTTTGACCTTTGCTGACACCCTTTTGTCACAAATCACTCCTGAAACTTTTCTCCTTCCACTCCATCCTGCCTGGACTCTCTTTTTCACTTCTTTACCACATTCCCCATTTTCCTGGACAGTGGATCCCAAGTACTTGAAGTCCTGCACCTTTGTGACCTCTGCTCCTTGTAGCCTCACTGTTCCACCAACCTCCCTTTCATTTACACACGTATTCTGTCTTACTACGGCTGACTTTCATTCCTCTTCTTTCAAGTGCATACCTCCACGTCTCCAAGTTCTCTTCCACCTGTTCCCTGTTCTCACCACGGATCACAATGTCATCTGCAAACATCATCGTCCATGGGGATTCTTGCCTGATCTCATCTGTTAGTCGGTCCATCACCAGAGCAAACAAGAAGGGGCTCAGAGCCTGTCCTTGATGCAATCCCACCTCCACCTTGAAGCTATCTGTCACTCCTACAGCACATCTCACCACTGTCCTGCTGTCCTCATACATGTCCTGTACCAGTCTAACATACTTTTCTGCCACTCCAGATTTCCTCATGCAATACCACACCTCCTCTCTTGGCACTCTGTCAGATGCTTTTTCTAAATCCACAAAGACACAATGGAGTTCTTTCTGACCCTCTCTGTACTTCTCCATCAGCATTCTCAAAGCAAAGATGGCATCTGTGGTGTTCTTTCTTGGCATGAAACCATACTGCTGCTCACAGATAGTCACCTCTCGTCTAAGTCTTGCTTCCACAACTCTCTCCCAGATCTTCATTGTGTGGCTCATCAACTTAATTCCCCTGTAGTTGCTACAACTCTGTACATCACCCGTGTTCTTAAAAATGGGCACCAGCACACTTATTCTCCATTCCTGAGGCATTTTCTCACCCTTAAATGTGCCATTGTATATTTGAGTCAAAAACCTCACTGCCATCTCTCCAAGACATTTCCAAACCTCCACTGGCATATCATCAGGTCCTACTGCCTTCCCCTTCTTCATTCTTTTCAGAGCTTTCCGGACTTCACCCTCACTAATCTTTCCCACTTCCTGGTCCACAGTTTCTATGACCTCTACTCTTCTTTCTCTTTCATTCTCTTCATTCATTAGCTCCTCAAAGTACTCCTTCCATCTTCTTGTCACACTCTCCTCACTTGTTAGAACATTACCATCCTATCTTTAAATGGTAAATGGACTGTACTTATACAGCGCCTTTCTGTCTTATTTCAAGATACTCAAAGCGCTTTACACCACAATCTTTGTCCTCAATTACCCATTCATACAGCACTCTACTAGATCTCTACAAAGCTAATTGAACAAATCATTCTAATGAGACTAATCAGTGCTTTAGATCACATTCATACTCTGATGTGGATGGGACACACATCAGAGGCTATGAGGGGTTCAGTGTCTTGCCCAGGGACACTTCGACATGTGACTACTGTTGGATTCGAACCCCAACTCTCGCATTGGAGGACAACTGCTCTAACGACTCAGCCACAGCCGCCCATAATTTAACTTAAATAAGCCTAACCTGCTGCACATCCTTTCCAGCCTGATTCCTCTGTCTTGCCAATCTGTACAAGTCCTTCTCGCCCTCTTTAGTGTCCAGTCTCCCATACAAACTCATCATACGCCCTCTGCTTTGCTTTAGCTACTTCCCTCTTTGCTCTACGTCCCATCTCCTTATATTCCTGTCTCCTCTCTTCAGTCCTCTCACTGTCTTTTATTTCTTCTTGGCTAATCTCTTTCTTTGAACAGTGTCCTGCACTTCACTATTCCACCACCAGGTTTCCTTATCATCCATTCTCTGTCCAGAGAAGTACCTTCCTACCGGTCTCTCTAATTACTGTTGCTGTAGTAGCCCAGTCATTTGGAAGCTCTTTCTTACTACTAAGGGGCGGCTGTGGCTGAGTGGTTAGAGCAGTCGTCCTCCAATGCGAGAGTTGGGGGTACGAATCCATCAGCAATCACATGCCGAAGTGTTCCTGGGCAAGACACTGAAC